CTGGGAAGAAAATAAGAACTTTATTACTTTGTGTTTTACTTATACCATCCAAAGGAACCTTAAGGACTTCATAATTAATTACACAAAATTCTTGAGAAATAAGAATTAACCCCATTTTACAGGTTTGACAATCGAGGCACCGCAGAGCTGCCCATAGTAAATCTGTCCAGAGAGCCAAACAGAGGATCTTGGGTTGTCACAAATTCTCTAACTACATAGCATACACACTCAAGATTTACCAAATGCCAACACATCAGTGGCATGATTGTGTAATAAAACAGACAAGCACAAACACTTTTATTTTATACTAAAGTAGCCTAATAGTAATATAAAACAAAGAGGAAAGCTTCAGAACAATGAAGGGCAGCCAGCTGACCACTCCACTTCCATAAGATTTGGGTAGCCAACTTCTTGATCTTATTTGTATAAATACGTAACTATAAAAACCACGGAGAAAATCTACAGATCTTCAGACAGACAGAAGACCAAATGCGTATGAAGACTGAATCAATCTTCAGCAGACGGCTGCTTGAAGTTGAGTACATTTGCAGGCCAGCGCGGGAAAGCTCATCATTTTCCTAGCCGTACTACACCTGTTGTATGACCATCTTCTGTTTGCCCAGGTACTCAAAAAATAATAACTGAAAGTCACACCTACAAACAGAACTCAAAACTATGAAACAGTCTCTGTTACAACATTTACTTATCACTTCGGTTTTTGTTGATCTTCTGAAAATTTTTCTGTTAATACAAACCTCAAAGAATGGGCACCAAATGTTGCTTACCCTCTCATCAAACCACTGTACAGGAAGCCCCACAACAAATTCAGATATTGGTAGAAATAGTAAAGGCTTTTCCCCACTTCAGCACTCGCTGTTTCTAATTTCAGGTTTCATCTGGCGATTCCACAGATCGCATATGCCAGACAAAGCATTCAGCCTTGGTCGGTGATTGGATTATTCTATGATCTAGTTAGCAGAATGGACACAAATGTCTGCCTAACAACCAAAAAAATGGCTTTTTCTTTGTGAAAGCACAGCTGATGCAGACGTTAGAATAAGTATTTCTTAGAGTTTAGAAAACAACACAATACCATAATGCTTTTTCTATATAAATCTATACGTACAAGCGCTAGAAAACTGTTGCAAGAAAAAAAAAGGCAGGCTATGAATGCTATTTATATATGTGCATATACAAAAATATACACGTCAAATAAAGTGAGAGAAAGATAGGACAGAATGTGGAAAAAAAGCACAAGTACAATAAAATTTGGGGTTGTGTAGATTTTCATAGACATTAGACAACAAAAATGCACCGACAGATGAATAAATTTTAAAGAGTTATTTTAACAATTTCTATATATTTACAAATTTCCTCATTTTTCCCACACCTTAGAGCAATGCTCACCTGACCAACAGACATCCAGAAAGAGTGAAGAATGAGCAGCTGACTTTCCAAGTCAATGAGACATCAAAAACTAGCTTTTGTACTCCTACATGAAGCACTCTGCCACCCCTCTTCACAAAAATATACGACTGGCTAAAACTGGCTAAATCCTAACCAACGTGAAATAAGATTTTTCCAGCTCTTTTTAAATACAGCTGTCTTTTCCAATACATGGATGTATTTTGCACCCATGACGATTCTGCGCACTGATTTTCAGCACTTTGTAAATGTTTGATAAGCCGTTATTTTTAAGTTGCCTGAAAGGGTAGAATTCTAAAAACAAGTGGATAAGGTAAGCTAAGTAGTAAAACGTTTTAAAGTGCTCTTTAATGGATCCTCCTTTACAATTTGAACAGCAACTTTTCATATCTGACATAAAATCCATAGATATAAATCACATTAGAGGGTTATTCTTTCCCCATTATCAATCTCTGTCTCTTTATGGAACATTAAAGTCACATTTGACCTTAAAACATGATAAAATGGAAATCAAACTAGAATGTTTTGTAAAAGATATAATGAACTTGTACCTCTTTAAAAAAAGTCTCTTTATGATGTAATTTTGAACACATCCTTCATTAAATACCCACAAAGATTTTCAATGTGTAGCTGTGACGTTCAAATGAAGGAAAAATGGTATTTTAGTCCTGACGACTTCCACAAAAACAGAATCAGCCTGCTACAAAAGGGAAACACATAGGACTCTACTCTTCAGCAAATTCAGCATTTAATACAACAGAAATTTACAATTAGCCACAAAACTAAGAGACTCTCACATGCAGCAACCCCGTAAAATCATCACATCACTCCAGGAGGGACTCTTCACCACAACACACTCTTTACAACAGATATTTTACAAACAAGAACAGAAAGAAGCCACAGTTCTGCCAAATATCCGGCACATGTATGTGCATAGTTAGAAACATTAAGAAAGTTGTGCAAGAATAATCTTGTCTTTGATCATACAGGTGACTCGTCAGCTGGTCAGTGGTTCCTACCCACAATATATGGCAAATATTCAACAAGAGAGAAGCTATTTCTCCCCCTCCTTCTCTCAAATAATTATTTATGTGGGAGTGAAAGAAGACTGGCTCCACCAAAAGAAATGGAAAGAAACCCATCCCAAAGTAGCCAGTCACCACCAGACTGCTCTGAAAGAACTACAAAGTCATGGTTTCTGTGTGGTATGTTTTCATTTTCCAGATGCGTTGAGGTTCACCTGATCTGCCACTTCCAGAGGTGCAACACCAGGATACAGAGTGGTACAGGGTAATACTTCACTCTACATCCCAGTCATTCCATTGATGTAAAAGAAAAATCCAGCTTGACTTCTGTTTGTGAACAAACTCAAAAATTAATTTTTATGGTTTTATTTCTTCTTTATTGTCTGATCTCTTACACTTGCAATATACCTTCTGTCATGCTCGAATTTTTAAAATTAGATATACAGCTGCATGCAAACAAATCTGTCAAATCTCCCTTCCACTACTGCCTTGGCCTAGGCAATTTTTGTTATCTGTTCGGGTGAGTGTCTCATGAAAGTATAATCACAGAAGTACTGCAGTCACACTCCTGATGAAACAAAAAAACGCTGAAAGCAGAGAAATTTTTTTTTATATATACACTCCACAGGTTATCTACAAAAAGACTTGAATTCAGGGGCTGTTAAAGTTTTACAAAGAGGAAGCACATTAACCAGAATCCTTTGACACGGCACAGAGCAGAGACCCTTATTCTCTACCCTTTCATCAAGGACGGAACCAAAACCTCCTCCCCCTCGCCATTATCACAGAGGAGAACAGGGGGTTTTCCTCTCGCCTATTCCCTGCTTGGACAAGACTGCAGGCTGTTTGAAAATGCAGGTTATCTGAAGGTTTATTTTTAAGAACCAGTAATTCACTCAAAAGGAAAGTTTCAGATCCGAAAAGACAATATATTCTGTATGCAGGAAAGATTCCAGAAACACTATTGCAAAACACGGACGAGAGGAATTAGCCTATTCTTCCTGTCTATATTTCAATGAGGAGGAAGATTAATCTAGTGTTTTCAGAACTGTTTTACCTTTGATCTTTATAAAAATGTCTAATAAAGCTGAAAGTAAAAGATTTCCTCTGCACAGTACCATCTGCACATGCACCTTCGCAGTCCCAAAATTACAATGAAACGCTTTTCTACAAACCAGAACAAGTCTAATAGTGTAGGGTTTTGAAAGCAATATTGCACCTTCTTACTTTTATTCTTCAACTCAGAGATCACTGAACACTTCGGCCTATGCCAGTTCCTTTGTCTAATTTGGCCAAAAGCTACTTGCTTTGCCAACAACCTGTCTCAGAGGGTGTCATTTAAGAGGAAAACTCATCTGTTAGGTAACGTGGAGTCTTTCCCCTAATGCCTCTCCCCGACAAATAAGGATATCCCAGTAAATGAAGGAGCTCCTCACTCCTCTGCTTTCACAGGTCTTTGCACTTGACCTCTGACCTGAGGTTTAAAGTCTGGACTAAAAACGCTACCCAGGGAAATCTTACAAAGACTCCTGAATAAGACTTAGAAAAATGAAAGCTTAAAACCTCAACAGCGAACAGAAGTCAACCAATGACAACGTCTGACAGCCACCGTCAATTCTGAAGTGATGCCTCTGTCATCCAACGACTCCAAGTATTGATTTCTCCCAGCATGAAAAAAGCTTAAGCCAATGAAATAGATATAGCATCATCCCCCCGATAATAGCCATCAAGGTTAACACCAGCACAACACTTATCAAAGTATCTCTTCTATTTCTTCTTGTTTTAATGGACTGAACACAATGCAATGGCTTCTCATCTCTGCAACCTGGAGTTTCCCAAACCTCATATATCTGCTTTTCCAGCCTTTTATCTGAGCTAAGATTAAAAAGAATCTGCATTTAAATCAACTGTAACACAGATGTGGAGGGGAAAAATAAGAAAAAAAAAAAAAGAAAAGTAAAAAAAAAAAAAAAGGTGGTTTTGTAGCCAGACATTCCTGGAGAAAAAACCCCATGCACTGAGAATCACAAGAGGGGTGATTCAAACCCACAGCTGACTTACACCAAACACAGACTGGTAAAACGATGGTCATGACCAGAAAAAATCCCCACCACACTCAGTTTGGGTTAGTGATTAGAGAGAGAGGCAAGGATCTCAAGAGACATCTGTTTTTAATCTGTGCTGAGTCAACAGCTTTATTTTTTACCTTTAAGTCTCACCGTATTAAGCTTTAGTAAACCCAGCTAAACACCAGGCAACAGCACTTGTACCAAGACTGCATCTTTTAAACAAACCCTATTTAGTAGAGTAGGGAAACGAGACAAACCAGCAAGAGTTCAACTAGATATAAAAACAACAGACAGAACAAATCAATAGTAAACAGCAGAGACCAATAACATCAGATTTATTCTGCGGTATCCGTTTGTACCATAGATTTTTTTTTTCTTTGATGCTTCTCTAAACTGCTATTATTTGTGTTACAGTAGCACCCTTGGATCACAATCAAAGATAAAGCTTCACACAAGAGCTCTTACTCCTTACTAGAAACGG